CCCCAAAACCCCAAAACCCCAAAACCCCAAAACCCCAAGATTTTGCTTCAACATTGAGATAATATAATAAAAAGAAATAACCAGCAACCAGCAAGTAAGTTAATCGATAGGAATAGAAATAGACATGAAAATGAAAATAGAGAGAAGAGTAACGAGAAGGACAGACCCAAGATTTGATAGAGCAAAAGGATGTATTGTAGGAGCTCTTTGTGGAGATGCAGCTGGAGCGGTTCTTGAATTTTACAAGGGAAAGATTACTAAAGCTCTTTGTAAGTGTTCAATGGGTTAGGGGAGATATGATGTTGTGTTTAGGTAGAAAAGCTATTAGAATGCCAGGAGGTGGGACGTTCAATGTTGGGCCAGGACAAGTTACTGATGATGGTGAACTCACTATGAGTCTTCTCCATGCCTTAGTCAATGGGGAAGGACAGTTTAAAGAAACTGAAGTGGCTAAATATTATGGAAAATGGTACAGATCAAATCCATTTGATTGTGGAATCACAATTGGGAATGCTCTTTCTGTGGCAAACCCAAAAAGACCAAACCCGGATGATATCAAGGATGAAGCAGAAAGACGTTCTCAAGGATCGCAAAGTAATGGCTCATTGATGAGAGCGACACCACTCGCTGTATTCTGTCATAACATGAAGGCTGCTAGTGCTGAAGGTTTCGATGCTGAAGAATGGAACCAACACAAAGCCTGTGTCTTTGAAGCAGCGGATCTTGACGCCTCTTTCACTCATCCGAGTCCAGCAGTCCACTATGTTGAAGGACTGTACATTTATATGATGACTCTAATCATCAATGGAGTCAAGCTAGCCGATGTCTACAATACAATCATAGCAGAAATTTATCAGTGAGACAAAGAAGAGTACAAGGACCTGATCCTTGAGTGGGTTGAAAAGTCTGATGAGGAAGAACTTGGTAGCTTAGAACACCAGATGGGATGGATGAAGCATGCTTTTGTCTGCTGTCTCAGATACCTCAGACTTGCAAAAGAGCAACAGAAAGTAGCAAAGAAAGTTGAAGAAGAAGTTAGTGAAAAATTCAAGGGAGAAAGCAAAGAAGAAGACAGTCAACTATCCAAAGAAGAAGCTGATATAAAAGCTAAAAAGAAAGCTAAAAAGAGAGCTAAAAGGAAAGTTGAAAGGGAAGCTAGAAAGGAAGTTAAAAGGGAAACTGAAAGAGAATTTAAAAGAAAAGCCACAAAGGAAACCAAAAAGAAGTCAAAGGATCTCTTAGTCTCACATTCTACGAAGATGCAATGGTAGAGATCCTGATGGGAGGAGGTGACACTGACACCAACGCTTGCATTGCAGGTGGACTTATCGGAGCTATTGTCGGGTTTGACGGACTTCCAAAAAAAGCGAAGACCAAAGTTCTAAATTGGGACAATAACAAAGAAGAAGGTCATGAAAGGCCTGAATTCCTAGTCCCAAAATTTCATGCTGAAAGTTTGATTGAGAGATTATACGATTTGGCTCCAACTGATTTAAAAACTGAACGAATTCATGAACATAATGAATATTTACTTTAGAATTTTCATAAAGTATCAATAATTATTGCTTTCATGGGGTTTTGGGGTTTTGGGGTTTTGGGGTTTTGGGG